CATGAGTTAAAACTGAACAAGCCTCTTGGATGAGAGATGAAACAGAAGTCCAGTTACCTTCTACAGAGGCACTTATTATAATGAAATTAGTGTTTTTGTTGAAGAATAAACCTAATTTTCTACCTAAACCCCCAGCAATCAAAGGTTTGCTTTTGCAGTTTGGGAGCTATTTGTGTGTTGTTTTGAGTGGAAGCAGCCATCATACCTGCTGGACGGATCTCCCAGCAGCACTGTTCCTCAGCAGAAATCTAAAATGGTTACAAGCCACAATCATATTTCCCAAAATGAGTTAAGATGTGGACGGAATCGCAGCACATCAACGCGTGTGACTTGCATACAAAGCAGACCTGAGAGGGTTTTGTTCGGTCCGTCCTCTGTGGACTGTTGTAGAATCACTTCACGCTGCTTTCATTTAGGACTGGAGAACAGTGCAGCTCGCAGATGACAAATGTTCACTTCCATGAACTGACATTCTCCGCTTTTCAGTGGATCTGAACCTGCTTATCACAGTCGTAACACATTGCGGGAGTCTACAGTTTTTCAGTACCGTACACTGAAGTCAACAGCTGAATAATTACACTAACAAATGAGCTGCTTTAGCTGGCCTGTGTCCAGACAGCGGGCCCCTTCAGTGTTTCATTACTGAGAGTGAATTTTCCAACACGACAAGCTGGAACATAATGTAGAAAAAAAAAAAAAACACAAGCGGGGGAATCTTCGCCCCGGGTGGAAACTGTAATTTAAGGGAAGCCTTAATTGAGCCTCATTACCAGAAGCTGCAGGTGGGCTTACATAATACCAGTGGGGAGACACTGGTGGGCACATCTCTCTGTGAGTTCTTCTTGCTTTACATGCTTAAGACATTTTTGATCTTTATAAATGTTAATGATGTATTTTCTTGATACTTCACACCATCATTTGATTGATTCAACAACATAATACATAACCCTTTCTGAAACACTTTCTTGCCCTCTCATCACATTATTTAATATCATTTGACATGTCATTGATTTTGCAAACTGTATCTGTAATAGATTCAAACAAATATTTTTAATTGTTCAGCCACAACACAGCTTAATGTCTGGTAAACAGCATATAACTTGAATCTTGCAGATTTTGAAAAAAGAAAAACGTCTCTGGGTGGAACTTTGATTGATGCAGCCGCTGCTTGAGGCAGACTTGCACACTTTTAAACCTAAAATGAAGCCGTGACAGTTCCTATCATATTCATGAACACGCACTTCATCTATTATGAATGTCATTCTGTCATCAGATCTGCAGTGTTTAAATGTGACAAACAACACAGTCACCATAGATCAGAGCAGATAGGAGACCTTAAAATATCCCATCAGCCAGAAGTGTTGGAACAGTCGGTTTTATTTTCTAATCTATGTCACATTAAAATGAGACTTTCAAAAGAATAAATGCAGTTAAAAACGTAAACCTTGTAGTTTTTTGGCTTTAAGATGCTCCGAGCTTCTGACAGACAGCAGAGCTCGTTTATCAAACCACAGTCAGGTACAATGCATTGGACAGGACCTTCCATCCATTACTTTGTATTTCACAAACTGCAAAAAGAATTTGAATTAAAAGTAAGTCCAACATGAATTAAAGCTGCAAGCGGCATTGGTCGGGTCCTCGCTTCTCGCGGGAGTGCGACTGAGACAGTCGGTGTGCGTCCCGACCTGCTACACCTGCCCACTGAATCTTGTAGGTGTAGATGAAACGGCCTTCCGACGGCACTCCGTTGAATGCCGAAAACACCAACAATATGGGCACAATGGCCATTAATGCAAACTGCCCGGGCTGCCATTTCCACACCGTCAGACTTTTGCAGAACGTTTTAATAACTTTTAATCACAACGTCGCACAGTTTGTGCTGGCCAAACTCCAACTGTGTACGATGTTCCTCCTAGGAGGAGATAGATTTTGAAAATGGCCATCAACGGCCAAAAATGAGTGAAAATCGCAAAATTCTGACCGTTTTTTCAAAATGGCCGACGTCCTGTTGGGTTCAGGGCTTGGCGCCAATTGACTTTTTTGTGCGTCCCGACCTGCTACACATCCCATGAATTACTACTGTTCAGACACGTCCAAAATCATTCATACGTTGCCAAATTTTAATTTCTAAGGTGTTTTTATTTGACCAATGGGCCTCTTCTGGCTGTCGATGACAGAAACCGTAAGACATTGTGTTAGAGTGAATATATCTGAACTACTTGTACAACTATTTTTAAATTTTGACTAAAAATGCCATGTGCAAAAAGATTCATATTCCTTGAAAGCAGCTTCTACATAATTTCACATTTTCCTGCTAATTTCTGCCACGTTCTAAAACATTATAATAAACTGAAAACAGCTGATTCAGTGGTTTTCCAGTCAGTTGCAAGCCATGGCTAAAACGAAAGAGTTTTAGTGAGCTTGTTATGAGGGTCCATCACCGAGAGAGAGTTGCGCACTGTGGCTGCTCTCCAGACAGGAAAAGGCTATAAAGTCACATGCAAGTGTTTCCAAGTGTCAGCGACCGCAGTGCAAAGCATCAGCAAGAGTTCAACACTGTGAGAAATCTCTTTAAACTCTGGCTCGTTGCTGTTTCTCTTAACCAGTCACAGTTGTCTTGGATGGAGATGAGCCAAGGACGCTGTGACTGTGCAAAATGGTGATGAAGGGGAACTTGTTTTGGTGGGACAGTTTCATCCACGGAGACAACAACTTTCTCTTTACAATAGATAATTCCCTGCTAAAGACAACACCACAGAAAACAAACAGCTACCTTCTTTGGCTAGAGGGTTCTTCATTATTGGTACCAATAAAACAAGACTTTTTAATACCATTTGTTTTTCCCACCCTCATTAGCTCAGTGCAGATAATATGCCATGCTTAAAAACACAACTTTTCAATAACCAGCCGGCAAGCACACAAGAACAACCCTGCTATACAGACAATGTTGTAGATTTTTTCCATCTAGTTGATCAAAATCCAAAAGTTGGAATAAAAAAAAACAAAACAAAACAAAGAAAGCAAGATCACAAAGTAAGTGTCCTGCAAATCTGAAGAGTAAAAATACATTGAAATGTGTATTACCAACACCATTAACACAATATCTGTCTTTTTTTCTCTTGTTTATATCATTTCCAGTCAAAAGAAGTATTCTGGGCAGAAAAAAAAAATCCCTATATATCAAAAATCTGGCATTTAGTATGAATAATTTCGAGCGTAACTGCATTTTATCTGACTGTGTGCTATAGCAAAGCCAAATAAATCTACCAAACCCCTCCAGGTGAAACTCTCCTCAGCGAGGCAGCAGGTTGTACGTCTCCACAGAACGTGTCCTGAGGGAGGAGCTGCTCTCGCACACCAGTTCAACTGGCTGAAAACTGATGGAAAACCTGCTCACGTCTCCAGACGCTGGAGGAAATCAAACAGTAACCCAGCAGCGGAGAAGCCCGGCGGAAACATACGGCACATCAAAGATGATGCTCCTTCCTCGCGGCCCTGAGGGAGCTCCCAACATCCATGACGGCAGCATGGACTTCCTGTGAAGTGGGTAATGGATATCCAATATTTTTTTTTTTCCTCACTGCTTCCAGCTGGGGGAAATTAAATGCCTCCTTGGAAAATTGATGATGAGTCCATGTTCACATGAGGGCCTTTCATCATGTTCAGCTGCTGTCATATAGAGGAAAAGAGCCAGAATGTGTATGTGATAAAACTTATCTGACTGAAGCTCACAATGACACACACCATCTTTCATGCCCAGCTTTACAAATATCCACTCAGGCCTTGATGCTGGAAAAAAAAAAAGAGACATCTTTGGGATTTTGCCAACACAGGTGATATTTACAGATCAGTCCGTCCACACAGAGCTGCGGGATCAATGTGTTTGAAGGTTCTCATGAAAAGCAGTCCATGGGTTCATTTTTAAAAGTTTTATTAAAAATAAATACAGTAAAATACAGAAAATTCAATCATGATGGTGTCAGTTGTTTTCACGAGGGGATGTCAGCTCATCCAGGCCTCTTTTTTTAGGAATCTCACAGCGTCAGCAAAACCGTCTTCACACAAGGAGTGCATGGTGCCGCTGGATGGAGGGAACAGAGCCTGGTTCAGACGTTTGATGTTCTCCACGGAGAACTGAGGGAACCAAGGAAAACACTGTGTTTACATCAAGAAAGCTGGTGAGAGAAAGTGAAGCATAACTCCAAACTACTGTTTCTAAAGACAATGAATAGCATACATGGAGAAATTACTGTTTGTAGCAGAGGTTCTTGACTATTTTTACATTATAAATACAATCAGACACACACAGGAAGAGATACTTTGGTACCGACTTGATACCAAAAATCTGAAAACGTGAAGGAAATGCAGGTTAGAAAAACTGCTGGTAGGGGAAAATGGGGGGTGTTTCAATGATAAACGCTGTCAACTTGAACATGTGTTACCAAGCTCTTGCATCCAAAAGTACAGAGCTTCACTCCGTTTTTACTACTGTTGTGATCACAGCGGATTTTTTTATTTTTTTTTTTATGCAGAGACTCGCTGCTGTTTCGCTCCGTAGTGCAGCGACTGTCCTGAGGGAAAGTTCTGCAGCAGGTGTTCCAGCTACACAGTGAGATCTGAGTTCAAACCAGACTTTACAAAAGCCTTTTTTTCAGGCATGAAGTGACAAGTTAAAATTGGCCAGGTGGACAGATTCTACTCCCTCCACCGCCTCCACTTATTTATCGAAGGAGGTTGCACATCCATCCTTCGAGCTGGTGACAAAACCGCCGCAGTTGTGGAAAAAATAAAGTGGAAGAAGAGAGTCGCTGACATGGTTCCCTCAGCTTACAGGTTTCCTTCATGTGAGCAACCTGTCTGTGGATGCAGTGAAGGAAGGAGGTTCCTCTCACTTCGTTGCACTGAGCCAGGAACTTATCCTGTTTGAACACTGATGCTTGGGACTGGCTGAGTGATTCTTTTTCCCCAGCTGCAACCGCTTCAAGTGCTCTTACTGGCAAAGGAGAGTTTTGGCGGATTCATTCACAGTAGTATTCTGAACCCACATCTGAGGACAGGGACATTTTGCTTCCCTATGTAGGTTATCATTCTCCACACTGACTGCAATAAAGACAATAGCTGTCACAAGAACCAGGAGTAAAACTCTGAAAACGTGGCTGTGGTTGTTTTCTGTGCAACCAAAAGTAGCGCTGGAGATCAAAGTTGCTCCAGAATGGTGTCGGTAAGTAAAGGTGGAGACTTGTGGGGGGAAAAACTCCTCAAAAGTCATGTATGAAGATATTTAATGTTTGACTCAGTGATTGGTTATAGATGACTTAAAGCCAGAATGCAGTCGATGTGTTACATGTCAGCTCTGCTAGGGCAAAGGGAAGCGATAAAACCAGATGTTCTTGGTTTGGTCGAGCAGGTTATTGTTTAGCGACATAATGAACAAAAGAAAAAGGCGGTAACACTGCAAAGACAACAGGGCTGGTGGGTGTTGTTTAACTAGTCAAAGCAAGAATAACAAAGGAAAGCCAAAAAGAAGACGAGGTAGCAACTCCCCAGCACAACACAAAACAAGTAACTCCTAACTCAACTACAAAGGAGCTACGTAACAAGCCGCTCTGAGAGTTTGGCTGCAGATTTAAAGCCTGGTGTGTTGATTGCTACAGTCTGATTGGTGGAGGGAATCAGGTGGTCCAATCAGGCAGGACAGTAGGCGGGGAGAAGGAGCTCCAGGCCAATCATCCATGATGAAGGACAGCTGGGGTCTGGAGCTGCTCTTCAGCCAGCTGTAATCAAAAGTCTACACAAACCATCTCCCCACATAGAGGCCACAAAGGATCCACTGTATCGACATTTACTGGGGACTATTTTCATCTGCAGATTCATCCATTTTTATTGCTCTAGAAATTATTTTAAGATGGTGTATAATGATGTGGTGATCTCTATTATATTTAACCAACAAATGCACAGTCAAACTAACAATGTATCCCAAGTATTGTCTAACTATCTGAATGCCTTCATGGGTTTGTAATTTGGGTTTAAAGAACTACACAACTCAAAAACACTGATATATGGAAATGATGAAATGCAAATACAAGGCTCAAATGTACGAATATAACAATAACAGAAACTTGGTAGTCAGTACTGATACCACAGCAAAAAATATGAATGTATTTCATCATCAACTCCAACATTTAGAAAAAAAAAACTCTGGATGAAGCTTTTAAGTAATTTGGAAAAGTTAGAGGTGTTTCCTCCATTTGCTTTGAATCAAACATGTCTGCATGAATTTTGTTTCTGTTTTCCAGAAGTTGTGGCAGATTTTTTGGTCCACCTGCGTTTGCTGACACCATCTCCAGTCGGCTCCCTGGACTGCTTTTAGTAGTAGAAAAAAAAAAGTGTTTTCAGACCTTTGGCACCAACTTGGTACTGAAATATCCCTACTCTTTAGTGCAGTCAGTCAGTGTAGCGGGTATAGAAAACCTCTGTGAAAGAATGGTTCAAAACTGTCCTGCCTGACCAGTAAAGCTGCTGCAGCTCCAGTGTCAAGATTCAGTATTCAAACTGGGTAAGTTGCTGGCTCAGTGCAACGAGGTGAGAGGAGCCTTCTGTACTGCATCCACAGACAAAATTCTTTAGGCTGTGACACCAATCCGTCTCCCATTTTTCTTCTCAAAACCTCCGTTTTTTAAATAAACGCAGCAGCTTTGTCACCGTCTACCAGGATTCTTGAATCCACCTCACTGTGTGGCTGGAACACCTGCCGCAGAACTTCCCCTCAGGACAGTCGCTGCGCTTCAGACTGAAACAGCGGCGAGTCTGCAAACCACTGAATGCTTGCTGATGGAGTGTACAGTGCATCATCGCAGTGTTCAGGTTGACAGCCTTTATCCTTGCAATAACTCCATCTTTTCCCTTTTTCCATCAAGAGCAGTGTTCCAGATAGCTACCTAGTCAACAGTTAGCCGAGCAGCCCGCGTCGTGGTGTTGATCGATTGAAAGCAGCTGGAGCGACACTGATGTGATGTGTCACAATAGATCACAATTTCCAGCGGCTCAAAGCTACCATTAAAAATTGAGTGCAGTGGTGTGTTTGTTTTATTGTACAACATAGCGCAAGTGGCGTTTATGTGAGGGAGTTACAGTTTTCATCAGTTATTAATCATCTTCTTCAATCTTTTGGCAGATGCTTTGGCAAGGTGTTATGGATCGTACAAGCGTTTTTCAAAACACACCCAGAACTCTCAGGTGTGTCAGATTTCCCATTTCAGACCAGTTTATTGACGGCACTCACCATTATGTTCATGTTGGCCAGTCGTAGCTGAGTGCTGAAGCGCCCCCTGTGGACAGGACACACATCCTGCAGTCCGGCAAACGGAGACACGGTGACGGTTCGTCCCTCGGGGAGGATTGGCAGGCTGTCAGTGAAGCCTCCATCAATCCATTTCTAATGAAACACAGAAAATGTTTAAAGACTGCCAGTCCTCCGGGTCAAAAGACGTCGAAGAAAAAGGTTTTTGCTATTTTTAGATTTTGAGAACTTTCGCTGTTTGCTTTTAGGGACAATCCAGCGCACAAGTAAAGCCGTGTGTTCTTGTCATTAAACACATAAAAGGTCAGCGGAAGAGTGGGTGAGGACATGAACTCAACAAATTTCATTTCCTCCCACAGAATGATTCCAAATTGGTACTTTCCACAGTAGATATTCTGACTTGCTTGCAGGGAAATTGCAGGTGTTTTTAATAACAGTGCCCTCGTAGTCCATAGTAGTGTAAGAACCAGCAGGACTCAAACTGAATGAATCCAACCGTGAGTCGTGGATGTAAAGAGGCCTAAGAACCTTTTAGGAATGTATCTTGCCATTTTGAGAAACCATATTTAAAGTAATCAGTCACTAGAGCTACAACCAGTGGTTCCAATAATCAAATAATCAGTCTGAGTCATTTTTTAAAGAATCAAAATCCTTTGATTCCATCTTCTAAAGTGTGAATATATTTTCATTTCCTTACTCCTTTTTGAATATAAAAAATATCTTTGGCTTGTGGACAAAACTGGATATGCATAGTTTTGGATATTAAAAAACAGTTTTTCACAACTGTATTTGCCTTTTATAGCCCGAACAGCTAATCATCTAATAAAGCAGACAATAAACAATGAAAACCATCAGTAGTTGCAGCCCTATCCACCACCACATTAAACCATCTGTCCAGTTATGTGTCCGCCCTTCTTGTTCTGCCAATAAAATCGATAAGAGAGAAATTTCTAAACATGAAACTGTACTTCAGAATTTCCCCAGACTGATACTGTAAAAAGTGCTTTTGCATGTGTTGTCTGACTTTCTCTCCAGTGACAGCAAACACATCCCAAACGTTCAGTAGCTATTCTGCTTCTTAATGCATGTTACAGTTGACTGAAGTGACCTCACTGCAGTTATAGCACAACTTTCTATGATTGCAGCAATGGTCTGCCACTTCTCTCACACCAGGAGAGATTCATTTTCCACAACAAAAAGCCATTTTCACCTGCAGGTACTTGCAGGACATTTTAGGGAAACCTGAACCTTTGTGTCTTCCGACTGCAGAAACCTGTAGATCCTCTTTTTGGGTCTTTTTTTTGGGGGGGGAGTACTTGGAGAGTAGGGCTGGTCCGAATAGCAATTCTTGATCTCCGGACATTCGGCCCCAATTAATGACGATATATCCCAAATATTCGTGGGTGCCGCGCGACGGTGGCGGGTGTGTACTATGTCCGACGAGGCGGGAAGTGCGCTAAGGCTCAGACGGGCCGGAGTGGACGTGACGCACAGGCCACATTGGGCTACTAAGACCAGTTTCTGTGTTTAGTTTAGTGGTGACGGCATTGTTTCCGCCACGGCTGCAGAATTCAAGTTTGATATCCTGATTCCAGCACAGCGAACGAATAGTCGGCTATTCGTGTCCAGCTCTATTGGAGAGGACAACATGAACCATTTTTTCTCCATCCTTGTTGGGTAACACTCTCTCCAGCAACGTCATCAACAGCTAAAGTTATTAAAGAGTTAACATGACAGTCGAAGGTGTCCGATCTTACAAAACAATGGCGGCAGAGAGACCAAGAGGGCTGGTTAGGAGGGCCTTCCAGTAAATGTTTGCTCATGCTTTGTTCCTGCAGTGGAAAGCTGGTTTAGTAACTCTAACCATCTGCCCCTCAAACAACTGAAATCAAGAACTGTTAAGAGCCAGAATCCAAAAGTAGAGTCGGAGTAGGAATTGTAGACAAACCCTTCTGCTACAAGCACATAGTTGACTGGTCATCTTGACTATTATTACTAACATGACTAAGTTAGCTGCTGTATGGGAGAACTGATGGAATTAGAGGTGCTGTGGAGTAGTTAGGGTGCAAACCACATTGGAGCAAAAGCCTTCAAGCAGTGAGTACCTATCAGTGAATCTACCCAGCACAGTGACCAAACCCTTACCTGTCCTTTGAACTCCACTGGTTTGAGTCCAGCATAGACCGGCACAAAGCTGCTGGCTAGAAGAGCCTGGAGAAGTCACAAACAGGGCCGCAGTTAGTAAAACTCATTCAATCAGCCACATGAAACAAACGATAAATCAGCAGGAGTTCATCGTCTGCACCTAAATGTGGATTTAAATGTCAACTAAAGGACTGATGGATACAGTTTGGCTCTCACATGCGACTACGCCATCACTGACATGCAGCACGCAGACGTTCATTTAATAAGTCTTGTGTCACTTTAGGGTCAAAGCAGTAAAAAAAAAACAAACAGTAAGCTACAGACTGGAGGAAAACAAGGACGTAAAACAATCATAAACATTTATGATAGAGTTTTAAACTGAAAGTATCAGCTTTATGTGTAGAGGGAGGGGGTACCTTTATGAGCTCCTCCCTGGAGGTAAACCGCGATACGATGTGGTTCTTGCCACTTTCGGAGTGTGTTATTGAGACGTGGAGGCGGTCAGCGGCCAGACTGTGAGCCTCTCTGGGCAGAATCTCTTCTATTCCCTCCCTGGAGAGTTTCCACACACAGATGCTCATTTGTCAGGGATTTATTAATAATATCCCCACAGGGCGCAATAAACACAGCGTTGTATACAGCAACATGTAATTATTACACAAGCTGTTGGATATATACCGACTCACCAAAGCATACTAATGAAGGATGTAACAATGTAGTCAGCTCACAGTCTGATTTAATTGGCGTCGAACGGAAACATTGCAAATGAATGTTTTTTTTTTTTTTGTGAGTGCAAAATCTCTACATTCACGGAATTAATCAGACATATACAAATGCCTTGTTAAGAATGTCCTCATGAAGATAAAAATAAATATATGAACTACTTTGCATATCAGCAGAAGGTATGTCTTCTTCTCTCTGTCTTCTCTTTCTTCTTATATTTTGTTCATGTTCACTCAAGGTCAGCTGCAAATAATCATTAAATATCTATGGACAAAGCATCAATATAGTATTCAAAAATAAAGGCTGCATTGAAAATAGAGGAACAAAGGTAGAAACAGAATGCAACAAAAGTGAATATATCTGTAATGTGGGATGCACAAGTTGGAAAAACTGTGATCATTGAAACTAAACTGAGACTCTCAACAAGCCTAAGTGCACGAAAATGGTTATGAAACAACTTGTGAACAGTAGAACTGTCTCAGTTTTCATCTATAGGTTGTGTCTATCTGCATGTCTGCATCATGAATCTCAAAATTTGATTGCAAGACTTCACAAAGAGGAAGCAGGAGTGCATTTTAGCCTGTTAATCTGATTCATGCTTGGACTTTAGAGGGACGCATTGCTGCAGTTTAGTGATCATAATGCAAATAGTTTTGCAGGTATTCCGATATTGTGATGCTACCAAAAAAAAAAGGTTTGTGGATCTTCACGTTATAACAATTCATTCGGAGTGCAGGCACAAACACATCCATGCAACTTGATGGAAATACATTCAAAAGTTGCTGAGATATTTTGGTTTTACATCTTCCGATCTTCTCCTGTGATTTCCTATAAAATCAGATAATTTACTCTATTTATGACACAACACAGACGGATGCTCAGGTCTACATGAGTAATTACAGAGCGATTACCGTAGCGTGAGCATGAAATCGTATCCTGGTGTGACGGCACCGAACCGCTGTCGCCTCACGCTGTCAGCAAACTTGTAGGTGAAGTCTTTACAGTGCTGGAAGAAGGAAACAAACATTGGGATGGTTAACAATATCACAGCAATATAATCACGCCCCACACACGACTGAAACTGCTTCACGTTTGTGTGTGTGGAACGACTGGTGATCTGTTCCAGTACGACCCACATCTGCAAATGTAGGTGACTGATTTAAATCAGTGGATAATATAGAGAACGAGAGAAAAAGAAGTGTCGTCTTGAAGTGTTAATCATGATACACTGAAAGAAACAACACCAATGAAACAATGAACATGGTGATGACTTGTATAGTTTCTTTCCCACGAATTAAAACACCACAATAGTACGTTTAATCTTCACATCAGCACACACACTCAACTAAATCTTTTCAGTTTTGTGAATTTCCATTTCCATAATCTCTAGTAGCTGCCCTTGACTCTGCCTTTCTAGACATATACACCAGAATCTGGATAACTGAAGATCTCCACGAATATATTTTCATGAATGTGTGATTCTGAAAAAAAGTTATTCAAATATTAGGATTTTTGCATGTTACTTCACACACTTTTAGGAAACTGTGGGTTATGCTGCGATGTCAAATTTTTGATGCTAAATATCCCAGAAAAGAAAGTCTCTAATTCTGCACTCACAATTTACATAACTGTCAGTACTACAGCAGAAGAAATAATCACTGAGACAGTGATACATTATTAAAATGTCTATTTCTACTTTACTCAGGGACCTCGAACACCCCAGAGGGTTCCTCCAACCATCCTTTGTTAACCCCTGCTCTGCTGCACTACCACGTTTAAAGTCTGTGCACTGAACGAGGAGGCGTACACGTCACCTCTAACTTGTCAGGAGCCGTGATCATTACAGCGGCCACCAAGGCGCCGGCCGAAGCCCCTGCACAGGCCCTGAGGGAGCCCAGCAGCTTATCCCCGTGGCGGAGAAAGGCCCCCATGGCACCCAGGTGGTAAATCCCCAGGAAGCCACACGCGGCGAAGGACAGGTTCAGGACGGTCATCCTGAACACCTGCACGGACAGGATACGATGACAAGAACACGGTAAAAGTTAGCAGCGAAACATATTAGGCAGTGTTGAGTAGTGATAGTGGAGTCATATATGTTTGTACTGATCACCATGTTGAACTGAGACACCAAACTGAAACACTTACTCATAAAACCAGGAAATATCAGGGTGATTAAAAACATTATTTTGAGGAGTTACAGACGGCCCAAATTCTTCAACATTAGAGTTGAAGGAGCATAACCCTTGTCATTGTTTAATACACATTGTTAAAAATGTCTCAACTGATAATTTGGGAGTATGTTGGGGCAAGTGGTTAGGGCGCCTTCCAAATCGCCGCAAACGCCATCAAGCATGGAGTCCTTAATTGGGCTGCTTGCTGGCATATTTCCCATACGTGGCTACCGGGGCTTTGTGGGTCACGATATCTTTGCACTTTTATCTCTGTTGTACTGATTCAGGGAGAAATGGAGGCGCAAATATCACAGCAGACAGTTGAAATGAATGTGTAGATGTTGCAACTCTTTTGTTTTCCAGGCCTTACATGCACAGCGAGTTGTAGGTATGTAATCCACGCACTAATGTGACGGTCTGCACGTGTTTGGCAGCAGTGTGTAGACACGGATTATGCAGCTACTGCGCATTTTTGTAATGGAGTCTCACATCACAGTGTGTCTTTCAATGTGTGTCTTTTTTTTTTAACTTCTATGGATTAGACAAGTACTATAATAAGAAGAACTTCGTGTCCGTGTGTGCACATCCGCAAGCAAAATTGAATTTTTAAAATTGTGGGGGAGAAATCAGGAAGCGTGCACTTTTTTTCCCTGATATGTACGACTCCACGATTTCCAGAATCCCTACAACAGATGTAGAGCTGTACAGAGTGCTACATGTAGGGGAAATGCGTTAAAATAACCCTTTTTTTTCAGTACAAAACCCTTGCTATGGGTCCTGATCATCTCTCATATCTCTAACAGAACTGTTTTAGAATAATACTACTGAATCCTGCTATCTACACATCAAAAATTTTGCAAGTGCGCCCCAAAAATACAGCTGAATAAATCCTCCACATCATTTTCTCCCTCCTGGACGACTGCAGCTCATTATTCACTCGCCTAAACAATGCAGCAATTGCCTGTTTACAATTTATTCAAAACCCAGCAGTACGGCAGCACACAAACACTCCAGTCCTGCCTGAACTCAATTTAAGTTTGGCCTGATTACTTTTAAATCTCTTTACTTTCTGGTTGTGCTCAACATCTCAGAAGTTTGAAGCACTTATCCTGGAGCCAGACCCCTCAGCTACTGTTAAACACCCCACAGTTCAGGCTTAAAACAAAAGGGGGGGGGGCCATGCTTTTAGTGTTTTAGCCCCCAATGCTCTGGAACAAACTCCCCTCTACTGTCACAACAGCTCAGTCAGGGCCTCGTTTTGAAACAGGGCTTCAACTAACGATCACAGTCGATTATTATTCTGATTGATCGATATTTGGTTGATAACTTGTTAGCAAATGATGAAACACGTTGATCAGTGTTTCCTGAAGACAACAAAAGTCTTTTTTATCAGCACCCCAAAATTATTCACGTTTATTATATTCACATTTAAGAAAGTGGAAACAGAGAATTTCTACTTTTTTCCAATACACTAATTAATTGATTATTAGAATAGCTGGTGATTGTGTTTATAGCTAATGGATTTATTGATGAACAGATTGCAGCTTTACTGTACAATCAGGCATTTTTATGCTTTCTAGAGTCTCTGTTGTCTTCTTTAAATGTTTTTTAATTGACATTTCTAATGTTTAGTCTTTTTTGATGCTTTGTTGTTGTTTGTGTTTTGCACTTCCTCGTTTGACAGCTGCTATGAAAAGCAGCCAATCAGGAGAGAGATGCACCAACTCTGATTTAATTAGTAAAATATTACTTTTGAGTTGTTCAAAGACGACGTAACAGAAGAGGATGAACAAATCCTAACCAACACTGGGGCTATTTAACAGCTCTTTTCCTGTTATTTAATATGAAATAAACTCACGTCCAATTCACTGTTTACATGATCGACCTTTAAACATGCAGCTTCCAGCTAGCATGCGTCGGTATTAGCCTCCTAGACAACAGCTACGCTAAATTCACATAAACTTCACAATTAAACCGTTATATTTATGACTGATACGCCACATTTATGTCAGTTTCTGGAAGTTTACGAGCCCAAAACGTGTTCAGTGTTATTCCTCCGAGCTGTCTGAGTGTAAAAGCAGGCAGTGTAAGCTAGCTAGCATCACTGATTAACTTCCGTCCAGATAAAGAGAAGCAGAAAACGTACCGTGTGTCCCTCCCACTCCAGAAAATGTTTATCGCTCTCTCATTAACCTTGAATGAATCTCGTAAAACAGGTAAAGGTAAATATATGTCCGTTGTTACGGGACTCCCGGGAGCTGCTCTCACGGAGCACCGGCGTCAAGCTAACATCACTACTACCGTTCAGGATTTACAAAATAAAAGCACCACATTTATAAGGAATACGTGAAGCACTGTCATGTACTAAATGCACCTTTACTCTGTTTGCCAGACTTTTTCACCTGCAGGGGAAAAAAATACATTTGTACAATTGTATTTTTTTATATATATAAATTGTTTTAAAGGTCCCACATTGTGCTCTCACGTCCCTAAAATGTGTCTTTCAATGTGTTTATTACCTGAAACAAACTGCAGCACACCCTTGTTGACTCCCACACGCATCTAACAGTCAGAGCGAGTTATCGTGCACTCTCATCAATGTTTTCTAATGTGCTGAATAAATAGTTCTCTTAAATCATTCTTCAGGAGGCGCTCAGTGATGAGGAGACACGTGGCCTTTGGGGGTAAATTCATCTTGGATCCAAGCATCCCTAATGTATAATTGAAAGTCCCGTGTTGCAGAGAGGGAAAGATGTGCAGCGCTCCCCTCAGCCTGTGGCCTTCATCTCTAGTTCTGTAATAAAACAAAGGGTGAGGCCATTATATTTTCTATTAATCGTTTGTCCATCCCATCAGTCCAGTTGTAAACACTGCACAACACGACTGCACATCTCTTGAACTGCTCAACGTCCGATCAACTATTTATACAAGCTGTGAGGGTCGTCTATACAAGGAACCTGGGCTAGATAACATAAAAAAAGTAAATTAAGAAGCTCAAACTTGAATATGAGACGGCAGCATTGCAGTAAACTTCAAATATGACTGTTTAACTTGACTTTTTCTCTGTCTTTCCAGCAAATCTGTTTGAACAGACAAGTTTTTTTTTTTAATGGAACACATCCACTGATTGCTGTATTCCTTTTTTTGATGTTAGTTAAAATACTGCTCTGTGACGGCCTGTCTGACGGCTGTGTCAGCGGGATGATGGAGGGTGATGGGGTCGTGACCGCTGTGTTGTGGAGCACCGCGCATGCTGCTCCAAACACACGCTCAGGAGACATTCTCAGGCCACAGAGGCAGTTAAACGACGACTTGACGACCCCAAAGGTCATTTCAATCCCGACCTCGCATTCGCCCAGGGCCATGTTGAATCGGTTTGTCGTCTGTGGGAGAGAATGGAGGTCATCAAGGAACACGTGGAATGGTATCACCCTGCATAGCATCCAAGAAAAACACCTTTGCTTGATCTTCAGTGCAAAACTAAGCTTTGCTGGAGAACACGAAAGCAAACCTGATGAATATTAGGAGCACATTCCTTGAGATTAAGTATCAAATGGGAGAAACTACCACAGTGAATGCATAGTCCTGACAGTGAAGCATGGAGGTGGGATTGTGATGATGTGGGGTTGTATGAGTGAAAAGGATAACATCCATAAATGGCGCTATGACTCCTTGTGGATATACCAAAACACTGACTGACAAAATGAGTGCCACTCTGCAGAGACTTGGCAGAGGAGGAATATTTCAGCACGATAACCATCCAAAGCACACAGCATGTCGCCTGACTTGAATCCTTTTGAACACCTTTGGGGTATTGTGAAGGGAAACATAGAGCAACACAACCCCTCCAGCGAAGAGAAGCTGGAAAAAGAAAAAGAGAATAGTCTCTGAAGAATGACAGAACATCTCACCAGAAAGCTGGTATCCTGCATGCTGAGGAGGGCTGAGTCGGCCATCAAAACTGAAGAAATGCGAGGCATCAAAAATGACAAAATATTTGGATCTCAGGAATAAAAGGCACACAGATTTTTTTTTTTTACTGTTACTACTGTGGGGCCTGTATTTTGAATGGAGTGAATTCACACTGTTAGTTTTTCATTCCACAAAGGAGCAAATGTCCTACTGTTGTGTAGCTTGAAATGAAATATTTTATAAAATGGCTTGTTTTTACAATTTCTCCCCTTGTTGTGGACAAATTTCCACGTATAACTAAAATCAGACACAAACCAACCTGGTCCGGTACAGAAACATGAATCAAAAACAAAACCACCGGAGAGAAAACAAGACAAATAACCAACTCTAAAGAAACTGTGAACAGAAAAAGAGTAAGACAAAAAAAAAAAAAATCAGCTCCCCCATGACATCATAAAATAAGTCTTCTCATAATAAAAAGGAGAAACCACAGACAGCAGGTTTTCTTATTTTCTGAACTTTCTAATAATCCACAGGTTCTGTTTTCAGCCGTTGACAGTCTCCTAAAGCTGCTCCTCACTGCTCATAGGATGAGTGAATATCACTCAGAGCAGGCTGGGAAATATACCTCCAAATACCAGAACAATAGCTACACCATGAGACAATAATCAAACTGTCTGTGAGTTTAAATCCTCCTATATTTGCTCTTGCTTCTTGTTTCTGCACAACGAAGACTGCTGCATCATCGCTAGTAGACAAACTACAGACTGCTACCTTCTAAAGGGAAATCAAAAAGAAATGTTTTAAACAGCTGAAGGATTTATTCTGAAAAATCACTGCTTGAAAAAAATAAAAAATAAAAAATTCAGTTTGCCTTTTGAGCTCATTTAGGTACACTGTAAAACAAACAAAACATCACAAAAAAAGAGAGAGAGAGGAAAAGAAAAAGAAGAAAAAAGACAATATTTTGGTAACTGGGGTGCCAAAAAATATACTGTAAAATAAGAATAATTTATTTTTTTTTAAATGTAATTCTTTATCTTAAAAAAAAAAAAAAAAAAAAAATATATAAAATATGTTTCTGTGTAAAAACTATTAAATTAGCTATAACATATAATAATATACTAAAAAAAAAAAACAACAATAATAATAATGTACACAAGGTAGATTGATAATACCTGCATTTTGACAGATTCATTCAACTTCAACAAATTTATATAAAATTACAGAATCAACATTTCTTGTCATTAACTGTGTCTAATTTTAGAAATATATTCACAGTATTAAACTTTAATTTTACGGTTTTGTATGTTAAATGAAAAGAAAACAAGATTTTACAGTTATTTCACATTAGACATGTAAATTCACTTTTTGTTTTAGTAATTCTAAAATACTGGACAATCAAGTTCCGTCACCAAACAGACTTTACTGGCTCCTTCAACCCCTACAGATCCATGCTGACATGTTATGTTGGGTCACATCTGAGAACTGATCATACAGTGAGGTTCGTTTTAATAAAACATTACAGTTTGCTGAGTCCAGGAGCATCGGGTTCCCGACAACCTCACACAGAAACACAGGAATCCAATTAACAGTGTGGTGCAGGGTCGAGCTTTTCTACGACAGGAGGTCAACGGTCAAACACACATCTGGCTTCCACAGCTGCTTCTAAAAACTCTGTGTGTGGAATTAGGAACACATTCATTGTGCTGTGGGAAGATCATTACAGTATCGGAAGAAAGTATTTGTTTTGAACCCATAAAGTTGTTCTAGAACTCCTCCCACTGAATGTCTGACGGTCCGATCATATAACCCAAATAATGAACCAGTGCGCACTTTTATTATTGGCCCTACTTTGTCGTTTTCTCACCTAAAGCAGTGTCCCTGGAGTGTAATTCTTCCTCCGCTACCACTTCAGTCAGCATTTATTTCCCTTGGACCCCTCTGCCATCGGAATTCTCTGTGTTTTGCTCTCGCCCTGCTTTCCTGGCACGTCAGCACAAATTTCCTGCTCCTTTAGTGTTGCTTATAATTATGTATAGCCTAAAGTGGATTAGGTGGGTTACACAGTGTGGAGAAAACGCCGAGCTGAACTCCATCAGAGGAGGCAAAGGTGTTAGTGGGCTGCTGAAATAATGGAGGGAGGATAATGCATTTTGTTTGGTGAGCGACTAACAGCAGTGCTTTTGATTTGCAGTCTGAGGCAACAGGAATGTTTCAGCGTTTGAAAGAAGTCGCATCATGGTTGCCTTCTCGAATGTTAAGTTTGTGTGGTCGTCGACTACAGACATGCCAAAATTCTAGACGCATTTTATCCCTGCCAGAGTGACGTCTGAACTCGGTTTCACTGTAATGGGAAACAAAGATAGTCTGCACTGTAGAAAAACCCTGTAAAATTACATTTCTTTTTACAGTGTGGAGGAAAGTCTGCAAAATTACAACTATTATCTGTAGATTAACAACCCAACTGTTGCGTTTATCATGCAAATAATGCAAACTGCATTTATTTCTCTCTCTGTTCTCTCTTTTTTCCCATAAGATACAGTATCTTACTAAATTATATGTATGTGTCATAGTCCAAATTAAAATCCAGGTGGATTTTAAATCTGCCTCGGCAGAATTAAAATTTTGATTTCGTCAAGACCAAACTGAGATTCTGAATCATACATTTTATGTTTTGCTTTGAAACAATTAACATTTAGTGTCACGGGATAACTAGGCTGGATGACCCAAATGCAGAAATGACACTCAGGAGAGATGGAATCCAAAAATAAGGTTTATTGTGGGACTTGATGTAGTAACGATGAGAAAGAAAACGAGGCGGGGGTGTTACCGGTAGGGAGTAGACTGTCCAGGTAGCCACGGAGAAGGCTGGGGTTTGGTGCAGGTGGAGACACAGACGGGAAGCGGGAACACTGGAAAATCCTCAATGAAGGAAAGGCGGTCTCGCTGACACTCGGAAAAAAGCACGAAGGGATGCACGAAGGGATGCGCGAAGGGATGCGCGAAGGGATGCACGAAGGGATGCGCGAAGGGATGCACGAAGGGATGCACGAAGGGATGCACGAAGGGAGGCTCGGAGGAACACGACGGGACCACTCGGGTAGTGGCTAGAAGTCGCCATGTAGGGCAACACTCAGGCAAAGAGTGAATGGTGAAGGCTCCTCTTATACCGGTGGTGACGACCCAAATGAATTGCAGGTGTGTAGCTCACACACCTGCAGGGAATCAGTCACTGAGAATTCCTCCAAGACGCCCTCTGGTGGACGCCTGGAGGAGGACAAAAACACAGGGCCCAAAAATCACCATTCCCTGACATTTAGTGCTTCATTAGTTCTGAAACATTTCAAAAGGCAGTATCCTGAATGTTATTTGCTCCACATTTT